AGAGAGAGAGAGAGAGAGAGAGAGACGTTTCTCAATAGATATAAGCAACAAATTTCAAGCTCTGGAAAACATTGCTAAATTAGAAGCTAAGAATATATTATTATACCCCAAAAAGCTAAAAGAGAAAATAGAAAAAGGGATGACTCAGGACATATTAAAACTAACGGAAGAGAGAAGACCGGCAAAATCAAATGTGGAAAAGTACATCTTAATCGGGGAAATAAAGAAAAAATGCAACGAGGCAAAAGAAACGTGGAAAAATGATCAGTGCCAACAAATAGAGAAGAACCCAAAAAATTGACAGTAAATACATGCTTTCCAAACTCAAAGAAGTAAATGGGGTAAAAAGATGCTCAAATACAGGATGTATAAGATCAAAAGGAGGAGATATTTTAAAGGACAATGGGGATGTCTTAAACAGATGGTCAGAATACATAGAGAAACTTTTCAAAGCTAATAGAGGCCAAAAAAAAACAACTAATAAAGAATAAAATAGATTGACCATTAATACTTGAAGCAGAAATACAAGCTGTCGTTAGGAAACTAAAACAAGAAAAAACAATGCTAATGAAAAGATGTACTGCAGCACAGACTGATCTGTATTTATGGTTCATAGGTTATTCAAAGGTGTTTGATAAAGTTAGACATAATGAGTTATTTAAGGACAACCAAGACATAGATGGAAAAGTTCTAAGAATTATCAGAAATTTACGCTTACTTGCTTTTACTTCTTCATCCTCTGTTGCCGTTAAGCGTCGAGGGGAGATGCAGTTTTCTATGGTAGGCCAGCGCCGGAGCTCTTTCAGTTGTGATTTTATGTCTTCTCAGGGTTTCCTTGACACCCTTGATCTACCTTTGCGTGGCCTTCCTCTTCCTTTATAGCCTGAGTGCTTGGTGCTGTAGGCTCTTGAGGCTGGTTGTCCAGTGGACATACGTAACAGGTGGCCAAACTATTTTATTCTCTGTGTTTTTACGCAACGCAGGCAGAACTCAGTGTCGATAGCTGCTCTTACTTCTTCATTCCTCTGCCTGTCTCGTCTTGCGATGTTAAGGGTTTTGCGGAGACATTTCATTTCGCATGCGGTGATTTTGATTCCATGGGTTTTACTTAATGTCCAGGTCTGGCACTGGTAGCATAATGTTGGTGTGAATATTGGTGTGATAAGCTGTATCTTTGAGTCCATGGAGATGTTTTGATGAGAAAGGAGGGGTGCGAGCTGGTAGATGACAGCGTTGGCTTTTTGGGTTCGCATTTATATTTCTCCGTCTAAGTACCCGTTTTCAGAAAAAGTACTGCCAAGATATTTAAACTCCTTCACCCATTTCAGTTGTTTACTATTGACATGGGTGTTCAGGGGACTACAATTTTCGCTCAGTTTCATAACTTCTGTTTTTGGTGTGCTTATTTTCATGTCAAATTTTTCGCAGCTGTTCTTCAGTTTGATAGTGTGATTTTGGAGGCTTTGTTGGTTTGGGTGAATAAGACATTGGTCGTCTGCGAATAGAAGTTCATTTAGGGTTTTGGGGCTTTAGTTTGTGTCTTGCGTTATTGTATCCATGTATATTATAAACAAAAGGGGAGATAGAACGCATCCCTGTCATACTACAGATCTTACTTTGAACCAGTCTGTATTGCCTTCTTTCGTTCTTACTGAGATTTTGCTGTTGGTGTATAGAGCTCTAACATTATCTAACATCTGTCCTCTGGCGACATACCTTCCGAGTGTCTTCCAGAGTTTTGTATGGTCTCCTTTTCAAAAGCCTCTTCGTGTTTTCTCCTTTGTTCTTTTCGTAGCTTGATTTGTCCGCCGTCGGCTTGTTAGGCCAGTCATGGAATTTGTGTTGGGACCAAAAGGCTCCTGTACGAATTCATGGAGAATGCAATGAATACAAGCAGATTAGAAGAGGAGTGGAGCAAGGATGTGTTATGTCACCTGATATCTTAAACATGTACAGTAAAACAATCCTTAAAAACATAGAAGAATATCCAGGTCTCAAAGTGAATGGCAAAAATATCAATAACATCAGATAAGCCCATGGCATAGTTTTGATAGCAGACTCAGAAAAGGACCTTCAATCGCTTCTAAATACTGTTGTACCGAAAAGTGAACAAAAGGGATTATTGTTGAATGTAAAGAAAACAGAATGCAAGGTAATATCCAAAAAAGCAGCAAATCCTATTTATAATCTCATTAGCAAAGGCGAAAAGATCAAACAAGTCCAACAAATATCTAGGATATATAATAATATCTGATGCCAATTAATGTTCCACAGAAATAAAACGGGGAATTGCAAATGGCTAAGGGTAATTTCAATACACTGACCCCAATCCAAAAAAAGAAAAACATCTCAATGAACACCAAAATGAAAGTTTTGAAATGCTGTGTATGGTCAAACCTTCGATATGGCTGTGAATGATGGACACTAAAGACAGTGAAAATAAAATAGAAGCAATAGAATAAAACTGGTTTCTAGGAGACTGCGCTCACTGTTTTAAAAAAATCAAGAAACGACAAATGCAGTTTTTGGGACACCTAAATAGACATAAAGGTCTTGAACATCTAGCTCTTACTGGCAAAATTGAAGGCAAACGAGGCAGGGGTAGGCCCAGAGCAATCTACTTAAGGAGCCGAACCGAAACAAATGGGTAACGGTGAAAGATCAGGGAAACGTAGCTTTTTTAAGAGCATCCGAGCAAAGGACTGAATGGAGAACCCCGGATCTGGCACTGGATGATGATGATGATATTATTACACATGTATACACAATGCACTACGAAGTCCCTTCTTGTCACTGACTCGCATCCTATTTCCTCCATCAGGTATGGAACTGGTTGGTCCCTCCAAGCGCAAGTATGCAGGTGTCGTCATCCAGATATTTTGGTGTATTGGCATTTTTCTGCAGACTGGTCTGGCCTTCGGAACAAGAGAATGGCGACATCTTCAGATGTCCATCTGTGCGGGGACTGTGCTGCTGTTCAGCTACTGGTGGTGAGCGTTTGTGTCATGGTGGTCTGGCCCTAGGTGTTCTGAAAGAGACTGAGACGAGCCTGAGTTTTGTTCGACAGTATTTAGATATCTTAAGGTGTCAGTTGTAGGCAAGGAGTGAGAGAGACAGGCAGACAGACAGGCAGACAGACAGACAGACAGACAGACAGACAGACAGACAGACACAGATAGAGCGAGAGTGAAAGTGAGTGTGAGATAGAGAGAGTGAGTGAGAGAGAGAGAGAGGGGGGGGAGACAGACAGACAGATAGACCAGCAGACAGAGAGAAAGACAGACAGACCGACAGACAAACAGGGAGAGTATGAGTGAGAGAGAGAGAAGGAGAGACGGAATGAGAGAAAGAGATAGAGAGAGCGAGCGATGTTTCTATGACTTGTCATTAAATGGAACCTAATTTTCTTCACAAACATAAACATATATTCTTATATTTAAATAAATCTTTATAGGCAGCCTAGGGTATATTTTTCTACTTAGGGAATACTTTCATTAATGTCTCCTTTCCCCCCCCCCCCCCCCCCCCCCCCCCCCCCCCACTCTTCCCTTTTTTGTGATCCTTTTAGGCTTGTCCCCGAATCCCCCCGCTGGCTCATCAACAAAGGGCGTTTGGAGGAAGCTTCAGATGTGATCAAAAAAGCTGCAAAAGTTAACAAAGTCACACTGTCAGAGAAGGTGTCCAGTCTACAAGAAATCGAATTGGACGGCCAAGGGGAGAAAATCTGGCACATGTTCACAACGCCAACTCTGATAATTCGATCTGGAATTATTTTTTTTAACTGGTGAGATAAACAGTAGAAGAAAAAAATATCTGCAATGTTGGAAAAACATTAACTTGTCAGATAGGAAAGCAACTCTTGCTAAATAGAAATCTAGTCAAAAACAGTGACATGCTGATAATACAACCAAATAAAATCAACCCTGGAAATTCAAGGGAGAGAATACTTAATATGTATTGTGGTCAACGTACGTGCAAGGGAAGTAAATAAGTAAATGGATAAAGGCGGACAACAAGAGATTTGGAGAGTTCGACAAGGAACAGTATTTCAGTTCTGTTAACAGGAAAATTGAATACCACTGTATTAGTATTGTAATCTAGATAGATTGTATTCCTTTATAGGTTTTTAAACACTTGAGCAAGGACAACCCAAGACAGAGACAATTATATTAGTATAGATTGAGAAAGTACAAGTCGTCGGAAAACTGTTAAAATGTGCTGAGCATAGAAAGTAAAATTTTACTGGAGAGAGAAAAAAAACAGTTTCATTCTTTAAGCAAATTATGTCTACTTTACGTATCTATTCTTGTTTTAGTTTTAGTTTTACTTGAGGTTTTACTCGCAACTGCATAAAGTCAAAGGAGCGCAAGAAGATTAGAGGTGTTACAAGAGAGTAAAGTAAAGTTGTTCCCGCATCCGATCCGGACATTGGGGATTGCCTTGTTAGTGAGACAACTTCCTGGGCCTTCGGCATATTGTGGTATGGCGGCCAGCTCCTTTCCACCCCACCTTTACTTCCCCAGCTCGAAGTCAGGTTCCCATTACTGCTGAGTGGGCAGAAGGAGGTGAAAAAAATGCGTGTCCTAACCGAGGCTCGAACCCGGACTTTCCGCTTCGGAGGAAGGGCGCACTAACCACCGCACCTACACGAGAGCAACAAACATTTTTTTTAAAGATGGGGAGATAAGGACGATTGATGTTTGATAGGAAAGAAGAAGCAAACCACACCAGAGCACCCGCCAACCACCCACTTATTCTTGCCTTTTCAACATTTATTATTAGGCTTTCGACAAAATATTTTTGAGCACATACAATTTTTATCACAGATTAAGAAACCGCGATAAAAAAATATTCAAATTTTTGGGTTTAGTACTTTGTAACAACAGGCCAACGAAGTAGATCTACAACCCCCCTTTTGGCCGTGCCCATAGATCTGTCTCCGTGGTTTTATGCACCCCGCATAATTTAGCAAAATTTGATCCTTTTTTTTTTTAATGCATAATTTCTGATTATTTTCCTTTATCTTTATCTTTCTTTGTCAAAATTAGCAGAATCGCAAAATTTCACATTTTGGTGGCTCGTTTGCATAATTTTAGAATTTTTCTTGCTTAAAACGATTGGGACAGATGGATGTATTTTACAACCCTTAAGTGGGTCTTGTCCGTCCTATAGCTTGTTGTTGAGGGTTTTTTGTTTTGCTTCTCCTTGCTCTTATTAATGCTAATGCTTTTTCTGTTGTGTCTGCGGTAATTATTGCTGTTGATGGTGGTGATGGTGGTGGGTTTGTGTTATTGTTGTTGTATTCATTGTTGGGTTTTTTTACATACTGTTGTTGTAGTTGGTGTTGATGATAATGATGAGGAGGAGGAGAAGGAGGAGGAGGAGGAGGA